GTCGGAGGTGAATTGTTGGCGTGGATCCACAGCTTCCTAACTGAAAGACTACAAACTGTCCTTGTTGGAGGCTCAAGATCGAGCGAGGCTAGGGTGAAGAGTGGAGTACCGCATGGAACGGCCCTCGACCCTATACTCTTCCTCATTCACATTGCCGACGTAAATGCGGCAGTGAACCAAACCTCTGCATCGTCATTCGCGGACGGCACCGGGATACTAATGAATATTACGGACAGGACAGACTGCGAGAGGTTGCAAGAAAACCTCCGCAATATATGACTGGTCCCAAGTAAACAACATGCAGTTCAACGGGACCAAGTTTGAGGTTCTGAGAAATAGAGGTAGCGGAAGAGCTAGTATGGAGCACTGCTACCTGGCTCGGAAATCGAAGAGAAGCGATTCGTTTGCGATCTAGGAGTGTTGATGAATACTCAGGTCAAGTTTGGTTATCACATCGCGGCAATAACCGCAGGAGACAGGCGGCAGATGAGGTGGATCTGGCGGACGTTCAGAACAAGGGAAGCGGACCCGACGATCACACTCTTCAGAACACTTGTGATCATCTCCTTGAATACTGCTGCCAGCTCTGGAGCCCGTTCACTCTCGGCGCAGAGCGGCAAGTGGAAGGGGTTCAGCGAACCTTCACTTCCAGGATCAGAGGGACGGAGGAGTTGAACTACTGAGGGAGGTTAGAGCTCCTGGGTCTATACTCACTGCAGAGGAGACGGGAGAACTTTGAGAGCGAGACCTTCAGGATTGAAACATACCATTACATTACGAGAGAAGGGGAAGACTGTGCAGGTTTCGCTCACTACGAAACGGATCCGCGGTCAGATTTCAATCCCTGCGGGAAGGATCTCTTTCCGTGGCAGGGCCGAGGCTGTTAACGTCCTACCAAAGGATCTAATAGAGGGTTAGTTCACCCTGGAGACCATCAAGAGACGACTGGACGTGTTCCTGGGCACAATCCCAGATCGACCTCCCCTACAACGCTACCAGCGGCGAGAAGCAAGCAACAACATCGTGCATCAGCTGGCCCAAACGAGGGCGGATACGCGATCCATCGTGGCCTGGGACTGCTACGTGCTATTAAGGAAACTGGCAGTGCAGTTGACGTCTGAACCCGATACGTGATTGGTGGACGAATTACTTCGCTAAATTCACTGTTTCTGGTTTTCTTAACAATTAATGCCTAATTTTCTCAATTACTTTAAAATTATTTATTTGTCAAAAGTAGCACTCGTTTTAGGTTCATGCATAAAAAATAAACGCGATTTTTCATATTCGCTGTCGAACACCCGTATTCCTGGCGGCTAGACTCGCTTTATTTAGCTTGCTTACCCATTATATTTAGTCTGTAGTGCTTGTACATCTTGTGTGAATACAAATCGGACGTATGTTTACAATGTGCATTAAGCCTATAGATATCTGATGACAAATTTTTAAATTCTAGACCTTACATGACAGCTTTTTGAGGTTTCGTTCTCCACAATCGCGCTGTACGTGGTACGATGTCCAGATTAGGCTTAGGGAGGTATAAGGTCTTCTGGTTAGTGTTAACAGATTGCTGGTCTCACCAGGTTAAGGTTCGTGTATACTCCTGGAAAATTCGACTGATAATTTTGACCCTGCCCGTTGATTCTGCAGCTGAATATCGCACAAAAATTTGCTAGAAGAAACACTACATTTGCTATAACTATCGATATTGCACGTACGCACGTATACGTAACATGTTTTTGATACGAATGTATCGTATTCGTATACATTTGGGCATGGCATGGACATGCGTAATTTAACTGCCTAACAATAAAAAGAAGACAAGTTCTGGCTAAATAGAACGTAAGTTTCTAGATAATTGCTGCGATGCAGTAAGGAGCCTATTCGCGAATCATTAATATCAATTATCTCGCTCATGAAAGACGCAACAGAAAAACTAACCATCTTAAGAGATCGTCGTGAACGCTGCTATATAGGAGGCGTTTCCGTGCTGCCTCCCCTGTATCTGCTGATGTTGCTGTTTAACCCAATACAAGGAGGCAGTTCCGTGTGTAAACACCTCTGCCATATGCTTCCTACTATTAGGCTAGGTCTATTTTGTGCAGTCAGCGAAGTTCGCAGCGAGCTGTAAACGACACCCATGCATCTACGAAATACGACCTATATCGAGTTACTCGTAGTCGTTGTATCTAATTTTATCGATTCGATAACTATTTCGTATATTTGTTGTGGGTGATTTGTCTTTATGAAATGGGTCACGTGTGTGGTTGTGTTACCATGTATTTTTTTAAATGTTGCGTTTCTAATCTTGCTGACGTCATCAAGCGATTTCAAACTAATGGTACAAGTTCCATTCCACCATGCAAATATTTCTACTATGAACCTTTCGTCTAATTTCAGTCGCTTTAATTATTCTCCCTTGTCGTCTGATGTTCTTAGGCCTTATTTTCTAATTTAGTTCGTAAAATTGCTTCAGTTAAGTCACTTAAGTGGCACCCATTCATATGTTTGAATTTTCATTGCATTTCATAAGTGAGATCATCACTATATTTCGCACTCCAGCTCCCACTATAAATATATGTACCTGCATTCAGCTATCTATTTCTAGAAGCATATCAACCAGTGTGCCTTATCTCACTGCTTATCGTAGACTTTATAAACTCAGACATTGATAAACTCTGCCGAATAGTTGACATACGCAACGCTGTGACGTTATCGCTGCTGAACTGTGATTTTCTGTGCTTGATAAGATCATATCACTCAATGTGCTCCCCGGAGCAAGGTTTGCGAGGGTTCCATTGTAGTTACTCCCGAAGTCACTTCATTTAAATAGGATGTTTAGCTTTATTTGTCTCAACTAACTATTCATCTCATATACTACACACAACAGTCATGTTAGAAATTCCAGGAACTTGGTGTTTTAATATACCTCAAATTACTCTAGTCGCACTCTCACTTCAAGTTTTCTGGACTTTTCGTGTGGTTTCATAGCCGCCGTCTTGCGGAGTGCGTGATGCCTGTGGTCGGACGTCAATGGTTCCGTCAGGCAGTAATGCTAACTAAATACGAGGCTGCTTTCCTGCTCACATTATTGTGCCATCTCAATGTGCGTCTCGAGCTACGTGATGCACGAAGGCTCGTGTGTCTTACAGCAGGCTTTTTACTCAGTCTTCCATTGATGGCATCTTGTACGTGAGGCCTCTCACTCTATGCCGTTCCTAGGCTGTCGATTTCACCCTGACAAACGCAGACTTTTTCGGCCCTCCGAAAAGGACGTCACATTGTGTTCTAAGATGCCAGTTTCCTAAATATGTGTATTATACAGTGCCGTCGGTATGTATTCACTTATATAGATTTATTTATTCGATATGCTATCGTGTTTTGGGTGCATTCCTTAAATTTTTTCAATGTGACCAGGTGCTGGAATTGTCTTGAAAATATTAACGTAAACAGTTATCCAGTCTGTAAACGCAGCCTACCCTATAAAAGCTCTAAATTATTTGTACAGTTTGTGAGTGGCCTCCGTACGTTTGTTACGAAAGGCATGTGGTCTGTATGAATTTCACTCCACTAATAGGCTGTTTGAAACAAATCTTATTTGTTGAGTAAACTCCAAAGTTACTGGTTGCTGTAGGTTTCAGGCATGAATCAATGTTACAATGTTCATAATTGAGGATTGTTTTCATAATGGTTATTCCGTAAACGATTTGAGTAAAACGAGAAGAATATTCGAGTTATGTTGACTATTTGGAAAGAAAGAATACTATTTTAAAAACAGTCCCACTTGCCTCCCTGACTCCTGCCAGCGCCGAGCTTTTTATAGTGCCATTTCTGATAGTACGAGTTTCTGGTGCAAGATATGCTAAGCAAAGCTGCTGAATGTAACTCTCAAGTTCAGGTACCTGTAGCTTGTTCTGTATCTTCACTTGTTGCATATGAGACGAATCGTTTCATCTGATGTATTTTTAGAAAACATTAGTAGGTATTCTAACTCCTAAACGTTTTGACGAGATTGTACTTTGATTGCATATCATATAAGAAGTATTTAGATGAGATTAATCAGGGATGATATTGCCTCGAATGTAAAGGGCGCTAATAGTGCCTCGTTGGAGCCGTTCGAGATTTTAGGTATTTCCGATTGACTGGAGAATAGATGTTGGTTTTGACTTCATCTATAATGTCGAGGTTGGATGCAGCCTCACGAGTTCGTGCTTTGGACTACGATATTTTATTGGCCGGTTGAACTATAAGTGATGAGGTTTCCTTATCTTCATCCGAATACTAATGTTCCTGTGATCGTGGTTTATGCATTATGATGAATGTGATTTCGACGTCTGGTGTGAGAATATCTGCAGCGCCTCAGAAATAAAGTATTTTGTGTAGTTTTAATAGCCGTTCTTTAATCTGGCATGCTTTGACAATATGTACCTTATATATGATCTGTTGGTAGTGCTATACCGGGTGTTGTCTGAGAAAGCATGCAATAGTTCGTAGATTTTCTGACTTGTTTATGTCACAAGTTTAATAAGTATTTGATGCACAGCAAATACCAAACGTTACGTAACTCTCTTGGCTACGTATCCTTCTGTCATATTAGCGATTACGCCCAAACGATTCTTACCACCATAGAAGTAAGAGGAAGTTCTTCTGTTAATTATAAAGAAAAGAGTTTATTTCGTTTGTTTTCTTTATAGTAATTCAAGGTTCTTTGGATCAGAAGATTTGCGATGTTTAAATGCGTGCAGGTTTTATGCCGGATGTGTCTGCACATATTTTATCGTATAATATCTGCTAAACCAGGAATCTGGTGATTTCGCACCACCACTAGAAATCAATGACTCTAGCAATCAACCAGTATCAGGTGCATATTGTCAATTCTAGCATACTGTTCTGCCGTTAAATAATAAGTACTGACTAACGTCATTGGCTGACTAACGAGTAACGACTAACTGTCGTTAGTAACCAATGATTAACTTGAGGTGTTGTTAACATGTGCAGGTTCTTTTTTTTACGGGAGTGCAGGAGGCATTAGAGTTTTAGTTAGCATGTTGGTTGTGGGGGCGGTCGTGTAGTGGAGAGTCTCTGCTGAGTGCGTCGCCTCGCCAGTCATGCGCTGCCCTGCAGTAGCGGCCCTGCTACTCCTGCTCCGGCAGGTCAGTCTCATTCACCGCACACGCTTCTTTTATTATACCATTTTCATCATATCTTTGTCTCTTCAATGTCTTATTACAATTTTTTAGTACGGTGTTATTATAATTTAATGTGTTTTCAATTGTTGTGATCTATTACAAGTGTGATCTATCTAGCTTCTGTTAAGCCAGGTTTACGAGTAGCACATTTGGAATCACAGGTTGGCTGCTTACCGAAAGTCTTGTTTTATTAGTGTGTCACATCACTGCTACTACTGAATATTGATTGCCGCAGGTCTCAATTGTTGCTGCGATTGATGCAATGTTGACTTCTATAGGTAGTAGGAATAAACCTATCAGCACTTTCATCATCAGCATTGTTCATTATTTATGACGGTGGACTTTGGTGTAGATAGTTTACCACCTCTGGTATTATTGCTGCCAATGACATACCGTTGTTTTTGTATTGCTACTTATTCTTGCTATTGCTACGTCTTCGCTTTAAAAACGAACGTACTAAACTCGTCGCTCAAGATGTAGGCAAGATAACTGGTGGCTACTTCACACACCACAGACACTGTTTCTAGAGTGCGACTGTTGCAGCAATGTTAACACTGTTATCACTATGGTCGTGTATTGTTAACGTTTTACTTATTAGTGCTGACTCTGACGTTGTTACGTTTCATTTACAGGCGTTGTTATGAGGGTGCGAGAGTGTCAGTGGCCGCCAGTACCAGTGGTGCAGTGGCTGCACTGTGAGCTGGAGAAGCGAGCTATACCAGGCCCTCTCTTTGCCCACACTCTGCTCTCTCTACTGCACCCCCACTACTGCCCCTACTGCTGCTACTGCCTCCTCCCTGCCACCACTGCTGCTGTCAAGCCCGAACACTCCTCTGCCAGCTCTACCGCCGCCACTCTAGCCACTCCGCTGGATGGCGATGCCCTTGCGAGCATCAGGTGAATATTTGTTGTTTTATCTACTAAGTAGGGGCCATTTCAAGATCATATTCAATAATATTTCATGTTGTATTTGAAATAACTCGTGTGCAGTTAGATGAAGCGTAATTAATGAATCAAAATCAGGTTGAACCTTATCACGCCTTTCCAAGGCATTAATGAGAGTTTGTTAACGGGTCACACAGTTGGCTGGCCGAGCCTTGCGCGTCTCTTGAGCAGTGCCACAAATGTTGTGGTCCATCTCGCGAGACTTGCCATCGTCTTGGGGTAGATCCTCTTTCACGACCTCTCGCTCCCACTGAGCAAGTGCCACTCTGCAGCCAAGATGGCGGTTGCCTGAGAACGTCCTCATCCTTTCATAAAACCAATCCTATCCTCGAAAAAAACTCTCGGCGTGAGACTAAGAGCATCAAGTCTCCTCGTAAACTCTTCGACGCTAAGAACCTCCGTGTGTTCGTTGCACGCTCTACCAGCGACGATCCGGAGGTGCTGCTAGAAGAAGAGGAGGAGCTTCTATTCGGCCATGGTCTTCACCCGGACGCGGACTTCCCTCTTGAACCTCACCCTAAAACACCCAGAAAAACGCCCGCACCCTCCGACCAAGCGGTCAGTCCGCCAAAACCTGAAATGTGCCATGACAAGTTTAGGCTCGATCAAAAATATGATTCATGTACATATATCGGAATGGAAATATCGGAATGGAATTGTTTTATGTATTATAGGTGTACAAATTGGTTTATTTTTACAGCCGTGTGGCTGCAATGCTGTGAGTCGACGTGCTCGTAAGCGTTACAAGAAGGAGCGGAAAGAGCACGAGCTTCTCTCTGCGCAACACTCGGACCTGTTGAGCGCCTTCCATCTTCTGGCCTCTGCTGCTGATCAGGTACGTGCGCTGTAGCAATACAAAGAATGTTAACTTTTATCTACCTTTATGAATTTCAATACTTTTACTCTGTATACACAGGGGTTGTCAAAATAAAGGAAACACCTGACATTTTGATATCGTAATTTTTGAACATGTAATAAACAATGAAAACTAGAATTATTTTTATGTTTTATTGTTTATTGTTGCTGCGAATTTATATTTTATCCTTGCACGGATATTTTTTAGTAAATTTTTCAGTATATAACCTAACCTATAAATGGCAAACCACTCTAGAGACTATAAAAGAGGCCAAATTGTTGGTGCTCGTATGGCAGGTGCTAGTGTGACAGAAACTTCCCGAATGTTTGACGTTTCTCGAGGTACTGTCTTGAAAATAATGACTGCTTTTGAAAGAGAAGGGAAAACGTCCTCAGCAAAGCACAGGTCTGGTCGAAAGTTGAAGTTGTCTGAGAGACACCGTTGGTACCTAAATCGAATTGTGAGACACAATCGAAAGACCACGACTGTTAAAATTACAGCAGACCTCAATGGACACCTACAGAACCCAGTTTCCATAAAGACTGTCCGCCGAGAGCTGCACAGATCTGGATTCTATGGAAGAGCTGCAATTAGAAAACCTTTGGTTTCAAATACAAATGCTTCAAAGCGTTTAGAGTGGTGTAAAAACCTTCAGAGTTGGTCCCTCAAGCAGTGAAAATGTGATTTTCTCTGACGAATCATCATTTACCCTATTTTCAACCTCTGGCTGAATTTACGTTTGGAGACAGCCAAAAGAGTCATTTAATCCCGACAGCCTCCTCCCAACCATCTGGCGGACCAACGATTTCTTTTCATGGAAGAATCAACAGCCATGATTATTTGGGAATTTTGGAGGACCAAGTTCCTCCAATGGTGTAAGCACTGTTTCAAGAGGAGAACGCCGTCTTTCAAGATGATAATGCTCCGATCCTTATAGCTGGAATTGTTGAAAAATGGCACGAGGAACATTCTAATGAAGTTGAGCATTTCATTTGGCCACCACAATCACCAGACCTGAATATTTTCGTGCATTTAGGGTCGATTTTAGAGATGCAAGTCAGAAGTCGATTCCCGCCGCCATTGTCTTTAATAAGAGAGCCTAACTGAAGAATGAGTTAGAATTTTTTTGGAAACAATTCACAATTTGTATGAATCAGTACCTCGGAGAATTGAGGCTGTAATTGCCGCAAAAGGTGGTACTACACTATATTGAAATATATTGTGTATTTATTCAGGTGTTTCCCTTATTTTGTCTAGCCCCTGTATATTGTATTGAAGCCATGGTCGCCTGTGATGTGGTGATTCATCACTCATGACCTGATTGCACATCTACTCACTTGTACTCTAAGTACAAGCTTGTTTACACGTCTGCAAGTGCAACAGCGGTGTCACAAACGTGACGCCCGTGAACATGCAGTATAACAAATGTGTTTAATTGTTAGGTATGTCATCACACATTGTGATGCACAATTGTCATAACATAAACCATGATGTGTCATAACAGAAACTATTAATGAATTTTCTCCAAGACACGAGCCGTGTTGATGTTTTTTTTTTGCAAAAACTGTACCCTAGTTTAAGTATGTCTTACATGGGTCAAGCTCGGTAACGTTTATATTTTCCGTGTATGCGCTTTGTCATACAATAAATGCTCAACAACGTTTTTTTATACCCTACGTTATGTTATGACACATGTATACCTTATTAACAACAAAAGCTAGCTAACTTTGATGCACATCCAAGACCGGATGGCCAAACTTTTGTTGATGCTACGCCCTGTGTGCAGGAGTGCGAAGACGCTGCCCAGCTGTTGCACGCGCTCTGCAGTTTGCTGGACCAGCTTCAGAACAACAACAACAACTGCCCTCTAGACGCCCCCACCTGCGACCCTCCTCCAGCACCTCCCGTATTATCTCCTGCACGCAAGGTGAGATATTTGTCCTAGAGTTGACTTATCCTCATACGTCATACCTTCTCATACGGTTTGAGTGTTGAATTCATAGTAATTCTTTATTTGTCGTTCTCGTCTCTCTGTGGCTCTGGCAATTCTTTTCTCTTGTCAGATCAGCGTTGATCCCAAAACCAATCAGCATTTAAATATTATTGGGCATGAGGTTTGTAGTAAAAGAAGAGAAAATTTTGTACCACTTATTATTAATTCATTGATATGCACTTTGCTCACAACGTTTGTGCTGATCAGAACATTGAGATTTATTTTAGCCTGCATGTTGTTATCCATTACAGGAACTTCCCATTGGCTCCAAGTCACAAGTAAAGGAAACTGACTTATCTTGTGGCGAAATTTTTCACGAGGCACTGAAGTGAGTGTGGAACGGTATAGACGTTACAATCTAGCGCTTACAATGATGTTTGTACTGATATTAGCATTGATTGGGTTATCTGTAATCTAGTATTTTCTTGTACAAATAGGAATACAGTTTAGTTGATAATGAAAACGGTCAAAAACCCAGTTACTCAGTTACCGTCAAACCTTTCTTTGGTGACCGTTGTCCCCGTAATTTCTTCGTAGATTAGTTTATTATGAGCTTCTCATAAGGTGATTATCTTTTTTATTTGTTATTAAAAAACATGAAATTGGCCAAGAAACTACTACATTTTCGATTCCTTAAAAGTCAAGTACAAAATCGAATTCCTTTGGTAGCGATTATGCCTCTGTGTCTAAAACTAAAGAATGATCTATTTGAGTGATGTAAGGAATCAGATAATAAATTAGAACGATTGTTTCAGGTACTTCAAAGCTTTTCCAGCACTTTGCCGTGACCTCGAAAGCTCCACGGAAACGAACTCTGCAGTGACCTCCGACGCCGTGTGGTGTTCAGATAAGAGCAACTTGTCCAACTCGGGCGGTGTTCCACAAGAGTCAACTCAGCGTTCTGCTCTGATTTCTCTAAGTCCAGCGAACGTTTCTTCTTCCGGTTCAAAACATGGCAAATCATTCGATCAGACTGATGTGGAGCCATCTATTGTAAAATCGGATTCAGTGCCGCAAGTTCATACCAATGAAGTTGAGTTGGCGTGTTTTACCGATGACGGGAAGCGTTCAAGTCCCAATATTCGTCCAGCGTCTCAAAACATAGACAAGTATTCTCCTACAGAAAATAAGTCTCCTAATTGGTCGTGCTCTAAAAATTCTGAACAAGCTACACTGGAAGTATTGAGCTCAAATCAGTTTGAGTTAACGAATCTACAGGACGTAAATGTTGATGCAAAGGCTTCATGCATAACATCACCATATATTTGTAATCGATCCACTGCAGCCGACCAGGAAAAAATCCCATCGATCTGTCATGTTGACTTTGCTCAAACTCTGAACTTGAAAGACGACAACATTGACTCCATTAGTAGAGTTGAAGTAGAAAATTCGGAAAAACCTGGAGATGCTGATTTTGGACCTCGAAATACCTGCTCTTTTCCTGTATCTTCTAGCATTGGATTCCATACGCTGTCGCAAGATAGATCAAAATTGAAAACTGCTGAATCAAAATTTTCTGATGAAAGTAATTCAATTCTTCCAAACGACTCCTTCTTTTCTCGGAGCTTTATTGAAGATGGAGCTCAGAATTTTCTAATGCCATCTCATGTGGATGTAGAAAGTTCTGAGTCTGATGTGCTGCATGTCTTATCTGATGCCGATGGAGGTGTAAAGTTCGTCGATTCGAAATTTCCCACCAATTCATTTTGTGTTGGAGCTTCAGTTGTTCAAACTCAAAACCACAAGACAACAAACTCTTGTCATACTATCGATTACCATGACTCGGTATTTCCTGTTAATGGGAATGATACTGCATATGATTCCTTGCTGATGGGATCGATAGATTTTCTGCCAGTTCAGGAAGTTCAAAATCTGACGGATGAGTCTAAATTAGTGGAGCTGCTTAACCTTCTGGGTCCAGGGCGCGCCAATCACCTACGTGATCCTGTCCCACAGCCTAGCGTTAACCCTGGTCAGACCCAGCCTGAGGCTGATAATCCTTTCTTGGCAAATATCTGGTCGTCTCTGTGGAGTGAAGACGTCCGTGCTGAAGAGGATTCATTGCTTTCTCCTGGCAACTGGCCTGGCCCGGCTCTTGCTAATGGTGCTTTGAAAGATAAAGCGGATAATTCAGAGACAACGAACGCGTGCGGACTTCGCTCATTAACTGGAATTAATAATCTCTCTAGCTTCAGCCCTGCTTCATGTGGTCTGACATTTAATACTGATTCATCTTTCAACGATTCGCCTTGTCTTTCAAATGTTTCTGTCTATACCGATACTGTCTTGTCTGGTGCCAAACAAAAACTCCAGATTATAACCGGGCTCGATTTTCTTTCCAAAAAGTATGGCCCTTGCTGCGTGGCATACACAGGCGACTGCCTAAAAAAGGCAACTGAGGGAAGCAATTGGCTTGATTCTAATGTTTTTGTTCATGGCTGCGGTATGGAAAAAGGCAATCTGATGCCGTCAGCCACTCAGCCCGTAGTTGTGGGGCATACTCCTGCCGTTCAAGTTGGCGACTTCACCGTTTTTCTGCCTGTCCACGGTTCTCAAGGTAACACTCAAAAATCTGAAAGGGATAGTGAACAGTCTCTTTTTCTAGACAACTCGGAGCTCAAGAAGAACATCAAAGATTTTTCTGAAGAACATATTTCAATGAAGAAAAATGACCAGTTCCTTAGCATGCCGTTTCCTTCTGCTCAAGACTCTAGCTTAAGACAAGAACCTGTCTGCTTGGCCAGTTCTTCTAATCTGTCCGTACACGATTATAACAATGCTCCTTACGTTCATAATTCAGTTGGCACAGAAAATGTTCTAAGCTCGCGTGGAAGCTCGGGGGGTCGGGTGGAATATGATGCATCTCTAGCAGACGATGAGGATGAGACTTACCTTCACGGGCGGGGCCAGCCGCGGATTAATTTTACAGGCACGGAATACTTGAATGTAAATCGAGTGTCTGCTACAGAGGAGTCGAACAGAGAGGCTTTGGCTTTGATTGAAACGCACCTGCAAATACTGAAAAACAGTGAGGCTGCCACTGCCGGAGCAACGGAGCTTCAATGGCAGACTGAACAGTTTAGTGCAATGTCCACGCAGCAAAATGTTACGGACATGCTCAATAACTTCTCTCATCCTCGGTCTCATCAAAGCTTTCAAGTTGAACCGATCTCAAGTTTGGCTTACAATCCCTTGTCTGAACGTCATCCTCATCAGATAGAGAGTGTTCATGAGAAGATGTCTGATTTGCCAGAAGTGTCACACAATTCTTACCATTGCCCAGATCTTGGAAGCATTCAGACAAACATGCTCGTTCCTCAGTCGTCGGTAGATGATGCTCGACAAAAGAGCTTTGAGAAGCACTGTTTTGTTCCCATCCTACAACCTCACTCATTAGCTTTCGGTACCACTCATGCCGGTAATGAACACCGCGGTAGTGAGTACAATTCTTTCTCTTCCAGGGCTGACATTTTACAACAAATGCAACCAAGTCCTGAAATGGACGAAGCTTGGAAACGCTTGTGTGAGTCTTACTCTAAATTTTCTCAAAGCCGCGGTGGTGCAGGCATTGAGGATTCGAGCGAGAAGAATATTTGGGCGGATTTAAATGCCAATAATATACTGTCTTCGTGCGTTCCATCGTCTGTAGCTGGAAGTACTGAGCAGGATGGTGTTAACGCGCCTCACGAGTTGGCGAGATCTCTTCCTACTGACGAAGAGCAAATCCTCTGTCGGACTTTCCAGTCGTTGGGTCTGGAGAAAATCTGGGATACGTCGCCTCGCATGCCTGACGAATATTCTAAAATGCGGGACCAGATGTTGTTTGCAACATCAATGTTGCAGCAGCAACAAAGTAATCACAACATGTGGACTCCAGAACTTCAACAAAGGCATGAGCATCCATCTAATTTGCTTTTGCAAAATCAATCTCACGCTGAATCGTTGATTGTGAATTCCGGTCATCTATACACGGAAAATAATATCACCAGCGAATTTGGCACGTCAGGAATTGATGTCTTCCTGCCTGATTCTTCTGCCAACGATAATCTCTCTGACGGTGATAAGCTGCTTATTGCTGGACCTTCAGGCGTCCAGGCCGTGCTCCCACACAGTTCTGAGAGCAACTTCAGCAGTGTCGTACCACGCCGTACTAACGTGCAAGAAGCTGCAGAATACCTCAAGGCTAGTGCTCTCAGGACAGATTCTTATCGGTCTCGCGCGTCTGAAAACCTGCTTACGTCCCCCAGAACACACTTCCGCCCGATCAAATCGCAAGAAGAACAAACTACAACCAACCCTCCTTCCGTTTCGACGTTCACCACCACCGCGACGCAAGTCCAGCTTGATTTACCGTACCAACGATCGAATAGCGGTACCCTATTTCTCGAAAAGGATGCCATTGAGGGATCTCCAAAGAAGTACATGGTTTACAAAGAGCCCGTCGAGAAAATGTGGGAGATTGCAAATAAATTGTGCCCGAGTCAGGAATCATCACTGATTCCTAAGTTCAAAGTTGTAAAAAACGAAAAATTTTGCCAGACTGATGATATTGATGAATCAAATCTTACCACCAGTATGCAATCGTCCGACTCCACTCCCATTCAAGATTCTGATGATGAGAGTGACGTTTTTATTTTCCAGCAAGAAGATCAGTTTCTTTCGTCCGCTAAAGCATGGAATCAACAAGAAGTCCTGTCTTCAGATAACTGGAAAAACTCACAGGAGAACCGTGCTGCCGGCCAATCATTATGGCTCATTGAATCTACTAAAAATTGTTTTGGTGAGAGAGGAACACATCTGCCAAATGATAGTTTGGTCGACAAGCTCGGTAACTCTGCTATCATTTGGTCATCTGAAGGATCCCCGAGTCGAATTGTTTTCCGACGCCGATCTAGTAAGCCTCTTATTAAAGATGCGAGTGCATCTCCTGATAAACAAGAACGCGTCATTGACACTCCAGCCGCGAGAGCAATTTGGTCGAGTGATCCGCGCACTTCGGTGACAGCAACCGCTCAACATTACCACCAGGCTGCCATGGCTTCGCAAAACATCAACCCTGCCATCAAAGCCTTGTGGTCTAACTCACCCGATAAGGTAAAGCTTGCCTGCGGCACCATATCTGATCATCAGGATGGTCTTAAATGGAATGAAAATGGAGCGATTAGGCGTCAAGAAAACGAGAATTTGCTTGATGTTAGTTCTCGTTTGCCTGCCTGGACGATGAACGGGCGAAATAACATTCATGACATTGAAAAACAAATACCAAATGATTGGACTCCAGAAACCAGCGTTTTAATCGATGAACAAAGAGATTGTGAGAGCATTGCCAATTCTTTGACTCCGTTGCCGAGCAGCAGCTGGAGCAGTAATGCTGAAACTATTGCCCTTGTCGGAAACGATGTCAATAGAAATCTCAACAAAGAAAAAATCTGGAGCACTAATGATGCTGCTGCTGCTGCTGCTGCTGTACATTCTGTTCCCTGGGGCGATCAATCGGTTTGGAGTAATGCTGAAGAAGGTGCTCCTTGGAGCAATGCTGATGGCAAAGACTTATGGAGCGATGGTGCTAACAATGCTTCATGGTGTAATTCTGATGCAGTTTGGGACGACGAAGAATATCTCAAAGCTAAATGGTCAAGAAAAGGAAGCAAAGGAAATCCTTGCTACACTGCGGCCGAAGTGGATGACTTGGCTCTCCTCGAAGAGGCCAAGCAATGGGAGAAGGACGTCAGGTATTCACACATTCAGAATAATCAATCAATTAATTTAACCTTTATTTAGTAGGATAGAATTAATTTTGCAAGGCAATCGGCCTGACAACTTGTGAACGTTATATCTTCTTTAAAACGAATGCTCAATATTTCAGCTACAAACAAAGAAGAAGCTATTGCATCAGATTGACATAATATGATTTTAATTTCTTTATTGGACAGTATGGATGCAGTTGGGTTCCCCGACTCGAAACAAGAAGATCTGGAGGAACTGGATCCTGGCTGGCAGTTGCAGGACGGCTTTGTGTGGGCCCAGCAGTGCGGCAATTCAATGATGCTCTCAGGGCACGAGCCAGGCGTAAGTCTCAAGTAACTCTGACTCCTTACGAGCTCTTTTTAATGATTCGCTCTTTCTGTATTTCTACTCACTTCGGTTTATTCCTGAGCATATCACTTCTTAACCATTGTCAAACTGCATATTTACAACTGTACCTACACTGCTATAGTAAAATTGTAAATTTTCCGCAGTCTGACAAGGGTACGTATTTCATGCACTCTGTACTCATTATCTTATATTGGTACCGTAGATCGGGATGGACTGTGACGATTTTGACGACGCGGCGAGTTTAAGCAGCTGCAGTAGTAGCAGCAGCAGCGAGGTTGTGATGATGCCCACTGAAGATGGTGGAACGCTAGCCGTGCAAGTTGAGTATCTTGACGAGGAACTCTATGACAAGATCTTCGGAGCTCCCGATCTGCAGATGGCCGGATCCCTTCCTGATCTGCCCAATAATCAGGTTAGTAGCTGCTCAATTGTGGTGATCCACGGATCTTCCTAGCTACTGCACATCGTTTCTTCATGTGACTTTTAATTTAAAAATTTACTTGAATGCGCCTAGATTCTTCCTTAACTCTGAGCAATGAAACACACTTTCGTTTTAGTTCTTCAGCTCTTGCATTGTTTCGTTTGGCTCTACAAGCACTTCGTTATAAAAGCATTATAAAAGCACTGTTGTGTTTAGGTTTGACACCTGTATTTTGGTTTTAACAACGCCAGAGCTGAGAACCCGATCTCGCAGAGATATGTAGTGAAAAAAAGAGATGCTTATGCATAGCTCGCAGAGATACAATGTGGTAAGGAAAGCAATATATATATAAAGCTTCTGCCTTATGATAGACTATCTGTTTACTCAAGTCCAAAAATCGCTCAGTGTCTGAGCAGTAACCCTCAACCTTGCTGTGGAGTCAGATGTCATTTCTAAAAGTTGATTCAATTCGGTTTGCTTAAAAATTTACTGCAGATGGAATAGAAATATCTCAGATTTATTATTGAGTTTTATCGTTTGCTATTTTGAAAGTAAATATGAATCCAGATTTTTTCATTCCTGAATCAGGCCGGGCTAAAGGTGCTACGCGAGCGCTGGCTGCCGCCGTGGCGACGTCCTTGCACCTTCTTCATGGAGGGAACGTGTCGCCGCAAGCACTGCAAGTTCTCGCACGACCTCTCAACCATAACCTGCCGGTACTTCATGCCAATTGTTTTTAAATTAAGTTTGCTTTGTATGTTTAAATGTATTTTAAAAATTTTCCATTAACCCTACAGTGATGGTGTGGATTAAATTTGTAATAAATGCAAACGAAAATCGTCGCGACAAAACTGACTGACAAGGCACTAATCTGGTATGTTTTGTTCGCGACCACTGTAAGGTTAAACAAGCTCATCTTTGTATAGCTCTGAATTACAATACCCAGACTACCGCATGTAAGTATTAAAGTTTGGATTCTTTCATTGAATTCAAAGTTATTGTGATCCATATTGCTCGTATATTAGGAGAGCAAGTTATCAGGATAACTTGTCATGAAATTTAATTTTGTTATGACTCATAAGGGTATGTCTTTGAGACGCATTTAAGTAAATTTCCAACCATATTAATAGAAGTAATGTAAGTAAATTGTAAACTAATTTATCAAATTACGTTTAGTTGTTTGTGATTTCCTGGAAGACAAGTGGTTCTACAACAAAGAGGTTCAGAGGTGTACCATCATGCGTGTGGTCAACTTATTTTTTATGTGGGCATTGTTGTCATATTCTAAACGCCGTGCAGGTTCTGGCAAGAAGGCTCATGCCTGAAGGGGAGCGAGTGCCCCTTCCTCCACGGCTATCCCGTGGTGACCCGCCGACGGAATAGAAGCGAGGGCGACTCAAGAAGCAGTGGAGGGGCTGACCACAACAAGAACGGCCCCGGTCTCAGGAGGGATGCCAAGCACCGTCCACACAGACTGTCGTCTTTTGAACTCTCCTCCGAGACCGACTTCCCGTCCCTCGGCTCCGCTAGCGATGCTAAGGAGAGTGAGCGTTCCGGGGCATCTTCTGCTGCCTCTGTTTCTTCTGGACATGGCGGATCACTGGTTGCGCAGCAGCAGAAAAAGAAGGCCAAATATACTCCCATCACTGCTGCCATCCTTCAGGTACTCTGAACGAGAGCACAACCGTTGAACCGTGTGCTTGCAAGCATTTTACTATTAATAGGTTGGCATTGAATTGCCTTCATTTTTTAATTTGCTTCACAATTATTTGTTTATGAGAAAATGCTTGCATCATGTAATGTTAACCTCGCAATCTATTTTTATCTTTACATTATCAAGACATTGGAATCATTTATTTAGTATTTTTGTTCTAATAATCATTTCCAACTCATCGCAAAAGTTCAATTTATTCCCTAAATTGCCTCAAGGTTGGTAAGAATCACGTATGACCAAGTTCAGGTAAAAATGTGTTGAAAATGTATTATGACATCCGAAATAAGTACCTTGATAGTTGAACAAAATATAATTGGAAGTATTGCTGCTCACATTGACTTGCTCATCCAGAATCTTTTCCCCGTTTATCAACTGCCATTACTTGTAATTTAATTGAATGCGATACTTAATTAAATTATTTAATTTAGTGATGGTGAATAAATACCTTCACAGCTTCAGGTGAACATAGATCGATTTAATTAAACATTTTTCCAATATGGTCAGTTATAATCATTAAATTGCAGGTCAGTTGTCACTAATACCGTAGTGACTGACGTCAACAACGCGTCAGAAAATATGAAACTTTTATTTGTGTTCGCAGTCAAGCAGTGGCAGAAGCAGACGTCGCCGGCACACCCACTCTGCTCAGCGTTGCTCGTCTCCTGACTCTAAAGAGGCCGAGTGTAGCCGCAGCATCGGAAGTTCCATCATCACGGCTGGCTCGTCTCATCCTCGTGTCTCTAAACCCATCAGTTCTGAAGGCAAGACGCTCTCGTCCGCAACCGGAACAGATGCTGCGTCTAACACTGCTGGCAAAAAAACATCCGGTAAGACAAGCTGCGCGACTGACACATCGGAGAGCACATCAGACAACAAGAACTCGAAGCAACGTCATCGACGCCACCGTAGTAAGGCAGCGGCTTCAGCACCCGTACGCAAGGACGCGAGAGCCAACGTCTCACCCGATGATTGAGAAAGGCAACTGTGGTAGGAGCAACGTTGAGAATCGGGCTCTGTATAACAATGTTCTCTTGGACTCCATATCTCTGTGACAAGTTCGCACTTGTCTCATGTATGCAATCTTTGTCATTTCATGGAAAAAATTGTCCCCTATACGGTTTTCGTGGCCGCACTGTCGTGTGCGCGCCTCCCTCAGTCCTCTGTCTCTTATCACAGTGCTCAATATGGCGTATTGTATTGTCGTTAGTAAGTAGACTTAATTAAGCACGTTTATTTTAGATTTAAAGCCTCCATGTCATTGAACAAACTGTTTACTGAAATGACATCATTTGTTCCTGTCCCTTTGCTTATAATATTCCAGTGCTTTGTTGTCACTGTTTTCATTAGATATCAACGCTGATAGATGCTAGCAGAAGTGAAAATGCAAATGGCTAATTTCGTTCATGCTCCCAACCTATGTCGAACGCTTATATTCGCTAAAATTCTCATCGCCTGAACAAGACAGTGCTGTGGTTCTTAGCTTCGTTTTTTTGTGCTGAAATAAAGAATGCAGCGACGGTACTTATAACTTGATGGCTTATCTCATTGTTCCTATGACTTTCTATCAAAAATGTCCCTCTCATTCATGAAACCCTAACCTCGGCGATGCCTTTACACCGTACTCGGTGATGATTTTAAGTTTACTGTTTCCGTAGTATTTAGCTTCACTGGCAATAATCCTTTCTTGTCGCGGTGAAGATGCTTGTGCAGTTTCTGCTTCACCTCTAGACGCGTTAATAATGTAGTTCAAGTGTCGTGTAGATTGCGTAGTCTCATATTAAGTGTAATAGCATTGCAGTACAACATATCTTCGTCATTCATTTTGTTTCTAACACTTGAAATTATGTCTCAGGGTTATAAGAGTCAACCTAGCAGAAATGACTTGCTCTCGCTCCTTGTCATTCGTATTCCGAAACTTTAGCCCCGTCACTGTGTGGGAAGTTAGTCTTTTTTTCCGGCTATCTGAGCTCATTTTCAGAATTTTTTCCGATATGAATTGTCTAAAATTTCCAGAGTACTTTTTAAAATTGATTTTGTTAAGGTTCTTGAATGCATCTGGGATATAGAATGCATAACATACTACATCATTTGGTATTATAAGTTTATCTTAGCCCACTGATGCCAGACGGATGCTGATGTTCTAAAATAGGCTAATTAACTTCTTGATTTAGCTAAATTGCACTCTAAGTCTTTGCGTAATCGGTATCTTGGGTGAACTTCTCGAAAACCATGATTGTCTGCATTGAGCGTTGTCTGTGGACCGATTTGAAAGATTTTCCCAAGCTATCGTCGTATTCGTAATGAAATGGCCACGTGAGAGGTTATACGGTCAATAAAGGCTGGTCTAATGTGACTTATGTTTGTGGCGTCTGGTAGATGTTTTGCACTGGAACAATAAGTTTAGCATGTAAGCAATGTCCTGAGTAATCTGTTTTTTAGCATATGTTGTTCCAGTGACAAAAATGTAATATTCATGCTGTTGCATTGTCATAATTTTAAATTATTAGTACCAGGAGACGAGAATTACCGAATGAAAATGTGCATTGCCTGCAGCCTGGCGTCATTGCCTTTGCAAAGTGCGATGAATGTGTGAACTAAAACTTGCATCAGTCGGCTTCAAGTTACTGGTGAAACAATTGGTTGATAATTTTTTTGACTGTGCCTTATTCCAAGTTATTTCTCTGTCATTTAATCCAATGTTCAAGTCGTGCTCGCCTTGACGGTGGGCAAATACTTCTTCGCTGATGAAGTCTAGCAGGAAAATGTGCTATAGGAAGTGAGCAGTGGTGCATCATGCGCTCATGCAGTGAAAATGTGTAACAAGAAAGTGGAGATTATCACGTGTGAGAGCCATAGACTCGAAGACGTCAAATAATAACCTTGAAAGCCTGCAGTGATGAAAAACTATTCTGTGTGTTTGTTTACACCAAAGAAGAATTCGAAGTGTTACTTATAAGTCAAGTCCATTGATATCGAAACGAACTAAATGACTGGTGAAATTGCAGTCTAGTTGCAGATATCTTTGTGGATAGGAGTGAAGTGGACTATTAATATCTAACTTTTCCCGCTACATAAAATTTATGAGTGGTAGTTACAAGAACATAAAATCTCAGCCTCAGTTCCATGGCTGAGAAGACTTGTGAACAGCTACCTCATAGAAGATTTTCACACTCGTGTCATGTCTGGATCTTCTTTCCGCCTTACATTTTACCTTCCCCGTTTGCGGTACACAGATTCTCCTTCACTCGTATCAATTTCCTGATGTGCGCTAAAAGGATTTTCCGATTCGGGAATTTCTGCTCGCCAGGGAATCTGTTTATTCATTTGAGGCGCTTGCCGCACCCGCCCACTACCCTGGAAATGTCCCTTCTCTTCTGGGCCTTTTCTTTGTCTCGCCAGAATCTGTCTGCGTGGAAGAGACCTCCTTCATTTCTCCTTTTATCCTAACTCGTACCCAGTGGTTGGTGGTGCGATTGTCAGCTCGGTCTGGTGGGTCAGTTGAGGGATCAGAGCTGATCCACCGCTGGGCTGTGGCTCGGCTTCTCCGTATTGTGGTCCTTCACTTTCCCTCTTGCCTAGAATAAAAAATAACCTCTCCGGAGAGCAGGTCACCCGGAAAGCATGTTCTGAGTAACTATAAAGCTCTTTATTCATTCATATCGTATTGCAATTCATGTTGTATTTCTTCAAAAGCCTTGCGTATTATTCTTATTCCGATAAAACGTATTTGTGCCTGAACACTGGTCACTGTTGACAGCATTGTTTTTAGTACAGTGGCTGCCTTCAATTTGGTTTAATCGATGTGTGAGTGAATGTAAATTCATCTTATTTTACTCTTCCCTATTGCTCAAGCAGTTTGCTGTTTGGAAATATGATGGAAATAAAGTAAAGATTCATCCTGTTATCGGACCATACGCAATTTGTAACAGTTCAATAATGCTCAATAGTGTCCGCCTAAGAATTATTAAATGCAAGCTCCGCGTCAAAGCCGCAGCGATGGCCCGTCCAGCGCCTGTTAGCGGAGCCCACGTCGCACACCCACCGGACCACAGCGGTACCTCCACTTCGAACTTCTACGTTAAGAAGCGGTCACCATATGATCCCTGTTCTCTCTTTTGTTCTCAGACGTGTACATGCCGTAGAGATGCATACACCACTTAAATTTCTCTTTGAAGGGCGTTCTTTATTTGGTCAGTAATATTCTACATCGTGCGAGTAAAATTTTTTAATTTGGTTTGAAATGTTCAGTTATGATCAGAATATTTGTGCCTCGTCATTGTTCACGTTAGCATTTTATTTTGTCTGCCAATCGATAGTGGGTATTGTAAAACCTTGCGACCGTTATTTGAGAAAAACTGAGAGAACAAAGTCTTCGTTTTCTTCCCTCCAGTTGATGGTCATCATTGATATACATGCGGATGAGTGTTCCTTACTTGAGTTTATGTACATTTACGAGGAGCGAAATCAGCAAGAAGCAGATGAACGTGCATCTCAAATCAAACATACAAGCCAGTGTCTTTTATTTAAGGTCAGACAGCAGTATATTTCATATTTACGAATCATCGTATGTACATGTAATTTCAGTTAAGTATCTTGACGACCTCTAAGTTGTACAAAATAAGTCATCGCAATCGAGAAAGTTTAGATACTAATCAACGCTCGGATGAAACCAACCAAAGAAAACAAAAGTTCCTCCGCATGCCGATGGCGGCATGCGCAAAATCGCATGGCGGTTCCAACGAATCAGGATAACAACGGAAACAAAGTTATGGTGACAGTATGACTAATGACACGACTACGCAATATGTTGAGACAACTCGAAGTCAACAACAGCTGCTTCGACTATATACACTCAATAGTTAAAGGTATTAAAACTCAAAAACCATACAGCTTTTGCACCCAAACGAGTGCAAACAGCTCTCAGATTTATCCCTGGTCGGGAAAAATGCCTCAACCCTCGTTAAATGTAGACCCAAAACGGTATAAAATAATATAAAAGTTCTTACAAACTCGTTACTATCAATAACACGAACAGTAACTACCAACATGGTGGGATTGTTTGGCAAGTTAAATTGCCCTTTTCGGGGGCAGCAGGTTGCCAATAACAGTCGTAGTTTAAATTTTCAGTAATTGCTACAGACATTAGAATTAAGCTCGCTGTAAGTAATAAAGAACTTACTTAACCACTTATTGACGAGATGCTGCATTGATTTCTCCAGCGACGACACTCGAGCCGTGATGGTCGTCACCATACGCTGGAATAACTTCTAAGGCGTATAATTCACCAATATGGCGAATAAGGTAATCCAAAACGCTGCTCAGGCTCAACAAGGTAGGTATCTAATTTTTCAAGCCTTTTTTAAGCGAAACAAGAAGATACACATTTTTAATACAGAATATTTCTGTGATGGTATTCGGAAATACATTTCACTGAGAGTACCATCAAAATGTTTGCTCAACGAAGTAGCATTTTTTAGTCCCCGTCAAGAAGGCATTCTTCAATGTAAATTGCAATAGTATACAAAAAATCGTCAGGGTGGTGCATGTAGCTCGAAATGTATTCAACATTAAGTAATTAAAAAAGCCACGCTCGCATATATTCCCAATTAGTCGTCCGTAATAATTCGAGAACTAGTCATGGACCAGTCCAGTCTTCTATTCGGTAACTGAGACATGAATTCGCGTCGAGACTGCCACGAAAGCTCGACCTACACAGTTGGCAGTTTGACCTAAACAGTGAACAGGTCGCCAGCTGAAGGTAGAGGGGGAAGCGTAGAGCCAACTTTAGGCATCCTGGATATGTCTGGAAGATTTTGCAGATGCGCTCGAAGCTCGGCCTTAATTTTGAGAACCTTCGCAAGCTTCACGCGGTACTCCTGGAAGGATGCAGAAAAGTGTAGTCACACGGTAAAAATGAATAAAATTTATGAGTATAAACATTTGCGCTTTTCCTATTTTATCAATATAAGTTTGTTCAAAGAAATCAGTCATTTTGGATGAACCATCGTCTTTCTAAAAACTATTTGAGGCGCAGGAAATAATTTTTGAGAGCTGGCAACTTTTTGTGACTTCATTTCCTGTCATGCAACATATTTCTTTAATAGATAATCTCTATATATAATAGATAGTCACTATATATCCCACGCTCAACATTAAAGAATGACTTTTGCTCGCGTTATGAATTTGTCACAGAAAAGCATGCCTATGCAGGCGGCTGTTGTCAAGCTGAACGCAACTATGAGAACAGCAGGGAAAGAAATTCCCACCTCCAGCATCTCTTCGGTGTGCACAATTTTCTCCTTCTGATGTCGGATGGAATCATGGAGCAACTTGGCCAGCGCTTTGCGAGACTCCATCTCCTTTGCAAGACGACCGTTGTACTCCAGCAGCAGCTTCAGTGCTTCGTCCACAACCTTCAGTAGCTCCCGTCCTTCTGTCGCGTCTGAAAGCAAATGCAAATTCTTCAATATGATGAAATAAATGAGGCAGAGGCAACTAGACGGTTCGGCAGTTAAGTCCAATTGCACTTTGTTCCTATAAAGCTTTTAGGGAATACGGTGGGTACTCAAGACGGTTTTAAAGCTTCTAGGATTCTCAATATTATAGATAAATAAAAGGAAGTGTATTTGTGATGAGCAACTACGTACTAAGTCGTAATCTCTCCAACACACTTTAAATCTTCACTCCACCTGAGAATCACCTTTTAGTTTTGCAAGGGACGAAGAGTCTGACACTGCGGTTGGCATCTTGGCAATCTGCTCTCTCGTTGCAGCGTCAGCCGTGGCTGCCGACTCCAGCGACTGCATAAACCACAATATTCCAAGTCTCATTATGAAGTATGCAGAGATTGCTGCCACACTTCAATCATGTAAATCTGAATCAAAGCCAACGATAATCAATAATGATAATCAGATCCGATGATTATCTGTAATTAATACTGAAATTTCTTGACTTGGAGTCAGTTTTAATGATGAATGTTATATCCCAAAATTAGAATGTGTTCCATATTAGACGATCACTTAACCAACTAAATAGGTGCCAAAACAAACAGATGTAGGTATGCTTCGTTTCTGCAAACTACAGGTAAATACTAGCATAATTGGCTGTCTGGCAGAGAGAATAGTGAAAACACCGCACACCACGTAGCCCTTCTGGCGATTAAGTTAGGAAATATGTAATTGAATAATTCAGCTCTGATGCTCCCTATTCTAAAGTATCATATAAAACTCGGAAACGAGATTGGCTGATGAATAAAGAGTACCAACCTTATTTTGAGCAACAGGAATAAATTTGATAAGCAAAGATTTAAATTCAGGTACAATCAAGAATTGTTTCCAGCTTCTTTTATACCTGCAGGGAAGATATGAGTAGCTCAGGGTCTGGCGGAGACTTCAAGGGCGGTGCAGAAGAAGGACTTGGCGGTGAAAGATTGACAACAGCCCCAGCAGGAGTGGCAGTGGCAGCCGTAGCAGCTGCGTTGGAATCTTCACCATCCTCAGAGTCCACGCCACTCTCCATGTCTTCGTCCGACGCAGCTCCCAGACTGCTGGACCCTAACAAAATTAAGTGGGAAACACATACATAGTTAGCTAGCTAAGGACACATTAAAAAGGTTTTTATGGCAAATTCAGGTGGTCACATGTAAATATGTTTTCAAATGTTCAAAATTTCATTGTAACTTTAAAATTTATGATGCTAGAATTACTTGACCAAGTTGATCACTCACTTCTGGGTCGCTTGGCAGGCGGCTGTTCAGTCTTAGAGGCTTTGATGGAGATGTTTTTCAGGCCTTCTGTAAACAGAGTAATTCTGTGTACACCTTTGAGTGAAACAGTTTATTTCCTTTCATAAAAATTAACTCATCAATTATCTCATTACTACATCACAAATATAACTGTTTAATTGTTATGTATATAAATAAGCTTTATACTTTACTAATACTTTTAACAATATCTTGAAGTAAATGTTTGAAAAAATGCTTGACTAAAAGTAACTCACCATAACCCTTTTTGAATGATTGTATTGCAGATTCATTGAAGACTCCTCGTTCCTCCCACACGGCCAGTAGCCTCTCAACTCCTTGCTTAGATTTGCCATCCAATCTTATAGCTCCCAAATGTTCAAAAACCTATTAGGTAAAAATTGTAGTAATTACAGGTGGAAATAACACTAAAACTTGAATACAATACAGCAAAATATCTCAGGAAAACTTTAAAAACAGTTAAAAATTGTGATGTGAACATTTTTTAATAAATTATGAGTTAATACTCACCTTAGGTAGTCTCTTTAGGAACTCTTTGCTGTACTCTGGACCTTTTTTCTTGCTATTTTGAATGACATCATTTGCAAGGTACATAAAAACCAGCTTCCGTGCATCAGACACTGCAACAAATAACACGCTTTAGTCAAAACTCTGAAGCCAGAATTATGCTGGCAAATTGGCAAATAATATACATGGTTTGCAACTTGCCACTCTGCACAAATAGTGCAGACATAAATACAAATACATTTTAAGGAAGGAAATTACAGTGTAAATACAATAAATTTCACAGAGATTTTTTAATTTTTTATCAAATTTTTGGTTCTCACTTCAAACAATCTGCAGTCAAAGTGAAGTTAGTGTCCAGGTATAATTTAAAATGAAAAAAATACAATTACAGATGACTTCCATAAAATTGAAAGTAAGGTATTGTAAAATTGAATCTTTTGTAGAGGTAAGCCTAGAAAATTGTGAATATTATCATAGAATACAAACTTAGTTTTGAAAAAGCCTATGACAAGTATATATGTATGCATATTACATTAGTGTGAAATGAGAATTTATTACTCACCTTTCATGAGCTCTCTCATCCAAACATTGACAACTGTGTGGGCATGCTTCTTGTGGTGTATCAACCACAATGATAGTGTTTGTATAGATTGCTGGGACATGTTAAGATCATTCAATTTCTTTTTAAGCCCATCTTCATTGAAGAGAGCCATACTGGCTTACACTAGTGTTATATATTGAACTGTTATGACATTAATTGATCTGAAAAATAAACATAAAAATCAATTAATTATTTCAGTTGGTAAAGTTGTGCCAAGGTGTGCCATGTGAAACAATGTGTTTGTTTGATAATGAATGAATGATTTGGGTTTTCAAAGTTCGAAATTATCGCCTGCAGCTTTTATTTTAATCACTTGTTTAGGCTTGTAAAAAACTACATTAATTATAAATAATAACTTGTAAACAAATATGAATAGAAAAATAGGGTTGGTCCAAATTTATATTGATATAACCATGAGGAAGCAAAATCAGTTTGCATTTCCTGCAGCTTTTTCAATAAAATGTAAGAGTAGGTATAGAATGAATGACATACCATAGCTTCATTGAATTGTCCAAGATAAACAATTTTTTGTGATATTTTTACACCTTTGAAATCTCTTGGCTGGTGATCTTGGTGGTACTGGTCTCAGTACCAGCTTTATTATCTTTAGATCATTTTGATTTAAGATTAATGGGCTTCAAATTTTACATCAGGGCTTTTATATTTTTTTACTCACCATATTCTGCATGCAGAATTTAAATTTTTTATGGAATATCTTTTTGCTTAACGGATTTTTGAAATGATTTAGGATTTAGGTGTATACCTAAATAATGAAATTCATGTCCAAGCGGTAAAATGAGGTTGCTCCCAAGCACGACAGTAGGAATGTAATTTATTGCTCTCTTCAATACTTTGGCCCTGCATCTGAAACCATGTCAAGGGAGCTATAACCTTTGTTTTCAAAGTACTTCACAAATGTTAATCTTTGTGTTTTTATTTCCCAACAATTTATAAATCTGTATTTTTTAGGTACAAAGATGCATGCATATCCTTATGCATATGCGAGCAGCCCCAGTTTATAAATATGGTGGTGCACAATGTGCATCTGCGTACATTTGGACGACATCTCACAATCCTTATTCTAGGGTCACAGAACATAAGGGTAGTTGTACAACTGGTCACTTACTATCGTGCCTCCCTTATTCAGCTGTGCATGCTCATGGAAAGCAGTGCGTTGTTCGAATTTCTGAAAGTGACTTCAAGGTTTTAGATTCTGCTTCCGAGGTTTCTGTTTTGTGCCTTTTAGAATCATTGTATATTTTTTAACATAGGCCTAGTTTAAATTCTGCTTTTGCATTTGTAAATAGATAGGTTTTACTGCTTAGGTTTTTTATATTATCATTTATCAACTGTATTAGTTACTGATTTATCTGTGTTCTAGAATTTTCATACTGACAATGGAGCTGGACTCTAAATGTTTTCTTTAAAGACTACATTTTTGTGGAATTATTTCAAATTTTTATTTTTGTGCACTGCAAAATAAGCATGTAAAACCGTGTATATAATTTCATAATTATTGGCTATGAATTAAGGGAATAAAACGTAGCTACAGGACTGATTCACCCGTTTGCACCCATTTTACTGTTTTATTTGCAAAGGAGATGAGGTAAGTGTAAAGGTGGTATTACCATATATAAGACTCTGTAGGGTAAACGCGGTATATTCTGACACATTAAGGACGCACCGAGAAACGAAAAACTATAAAAAAATAACTGTACGCGATACTCGAGTTCTGTTTGCTTTATGTGACTCTCAAAACACCGCACTACGCGCCAGCAATGATGAAACGTCACAAAATGTTGCCATATTTATTTAAAAGCTTTTAGAATGCAAACCTACCAAATCCCTATATTACGACACTGTGTGTGACTATATTTGGCACGTGGTGAGACGTATTCCGACCACGCTTCAAATTGTACTAATACGTAATTCTGACACCCACGTGTTCGAATTCCGATCGCTGTGTGAGCTGTATTGGAATACCACACGGCTTTGAATTAGAACACTATTGAATATTGAGCACTACTTAATTAGGCTTTTAATTAACAGTTATTAAGCTTTTAATTAAGAAAATTTTAATTTTTGCACACAGCTTGGAACGAACTCTGTGTGTCCAATTCAAGTTGTGTCAGAATTAGTTTTTAGGTGTCTAAATCTGTTTCTCAACTTAATCATCTATTAATTTATTTACCACTTGAAATCAGCAAATACAAGTATACCTAAAGGATTTCTAATATATTCACAGATGTATTTAAAAGTCTCAAACCATAATATTCTTTCTACACAAACAGTTTATCACTATTTGGTAGAGCAAGGTCAACTGTCAACTTTGACACATTTTTCAATGATCTCATTGGGTGGCATCACTGGCATGCACTGTCGCTATATGGATCTCAACATTTTCCCGCTAGATGGCCCAGAGTCCCAGACCTAGTGTTTTAGCAGTAGTTTGACGTGCAAATGTATGACATCACTATTTCAACTATCAACGAACGCATGAAACTAAAACAAAGCTTAATATAAAGGAAAAACTAGAGAGGTGTCGGAATATACCACGTTTACCCTAGAGTCTGAAACATAAAGAAAAAACATTAATAGATGTATCAAACATGAAATATGTTATATATGGCAATTTTAAATTAATTTCAAAGCAGTTCTATGTTACCCCATCATGGCTGACATTAGGTGGTCTAAGTTCCCACATTTGTAGACATTGCCCCCCATTAGCAAACAATGACACTTTCTTCAAATTTGTCATTTGCATATGTAACTAGAAGAGTTCTACTACAATGCGCCAAAACCAAGAGTTATTTTACCAAAAAATAAAAAAATGGAGGGGGTTCCATGAGAGGCTTTAAATAATAGCTCTTTTTCATGTGTCACATTTTTCATTTTTTAACCTATTAGATATGCATAATTTTTCATCTTTCTATTGTGTTACATAGCCTCAGTAGGGTAAACACAGTATATTCCGTCACCTCTCTAGTTTTTCCTTTATATTAGGCTTTGTTTTAGTTCCATGCGTTTGTTGATGGTTGAAATGGTGACGTCATACATTTGCACGTCGAACTAATGCCAAAACAAAAGGTCTTGGCCATCTAGCGGGAAAATATTGAGATCCAAAGAGAAACAATGCACGCTACCCAGTGAGATCATCGAAAAATGTGTCAAATTTGACAGTTGACCTTGCTCTACCAAATAGTGAATAACTGTTTGTATAGGAAGAATATTATGGTTTGAGACTTTTAAATACGTCTGTGAATATATTAGGAATCCTTTAAGTACGGTATACTTGTATTTGCTGATTCCATGTGGTAAATAAATTAATAGATGATTAAGTTGAGAAATGGATTTAGACACATGAAAACTAATTCCGTCATAACTTGAATTGGACACACACAGATCGTTCCAAGCTATGTACAAAAATTAAAATTTGCTTAATTAAAAGCTTAATAGTTGTTAATTAAAAGCGTAATTAAGTAGTGTTCTAATTCAAAGCCGTGTTGTATTCCAATACAGCTCACACAGTGAATGGAATTCGAACACGTGGATGACAGCATTACGTATCAGTAGAATTTGAAGCGCGGACGGAATACGCCTCACCACATGCCGATTGCCGAATATTGCCACACACAGTGACGGAATATAGGGATTTGGTAGGTTTGCATTCTAAAGGCTTTCACATAAATATGGCAACATTTTGTGACGTTTCATTGTATCAGTTAAATTTGAAGCGCTGACGCAATACGACTCACCACGTGTCGGTTGTTGCCACACAAAGTGACGGAATATAGGGATTTGGTAGGTTTCCATTCTAAAGGCTTTTTAATAAATATGGCAACATTTTGTGACGTTTCATCGTTGCTGACACGTAGTGAAGTGTTTTGAGAGTCATGTGAAGGCAACAGAACTTACATAACGCATACGTTTTTTTTATAGTTTTTCATTTCTCGATGCGTCCTTAAAGTGTCGGAATATACCGCGTTTACCCTATACCGCGTTTACCCTAGTTTTTCATTTCTCGATGCATCCTTAATGTGACAGAATATACCGCGTTTACCCTACTACTGTACTAGGCCTTTAATGCCCATTGACAAAATTTTTCTATGTCAAATAGTTTTTGATTTTTTGGGGTTTTTGTTGAAAAAAATAAAAGTGGTCTAAGTTCCCCATCCCCAGGACAGGAGTCTAAGTTACCCTATTTTATGGTATATTCTAGTGGGTTTTCCAAAAGTGGCAACTTACATGGCATTGGTAGTACTCTATGATAGACTCTATGACTATGAGTCTATGTCCACCAAACTGTCATACCTATAGTGGCAAAGCAAAATTTTTTTTTTCAGAGTGATACACTCTGTGACTCTGACTCTCTCTCAACCTCAAGTTCATTTTTGAGTTTTATAAATAGAGCAGTAAAGTGAAATGTCTACCAGCATTATCATACATTTATTACATAAGAAGTTGGCGTAAATATTAAGTAAAGGAGGATATTAAAAAGGAACTGATTCTAAAAAATCTTTGGTTCGTCTGTCAGTCGTCACGACTCACGACGACGACGTCACCATGCACCAAAGCTTACTATACGATCTATACTACTATCTATACTATATATATATCAAAGCTTACTATACTAGTTTCCTCAGTCTTTGGAAATATCTGGATGCTAGCTGACACTTTTTTGTTGGCGGAAATTGATACTGCTAAGTGCTAACCGCAAGCCTAACGCGATAACCTCAATGCCTGCAGTCTGCAGATGCAGACCTTTCTTTTTTTTTTTTTAGTTATTCTTATAGGAGCACTGGAAACTAGTCCATATAGCCCCTTGCCTAAACTGGGTTTAATTGGTACCTAACAGTCTAACACCTCTGAAAGTGAAAATCTGGAACAGAGAGAGAACACACACACACGAAAAAAAGAAAAAAAAAAAAAAATTTAACTGACAAATAATGAGGATAAAATAGGTAAAATTAATGAAATTACTGTTAAGTTTATTTAACGGAAAAAAAAAACAAATTACAGGGAATGCTGAAGTTATGAATGTAGATTAATGTTATGAAAAGTTAAGTAGAGTAATGAAAAAATAAGTAAATAAATAAACAAAATTAAATAAAATAATAATATATCTGTGAATATTACAACATTTTCTGATTGGAGGAGATTGGT